CGTACGACGAACGACGTAACACACGACGACACACACACACACACACACACACACACACACACACACACACACACACACACACACACACACACACACACCAACAGAGACCCCTTCTCCAGCCTTGCGCTGAGTCCTGAAAATGTGTCCAGTGGCCCGAGACTCATTTTCTCACAACTATGCAAAGTGCAAAAGCACATATTTAGGAAAGTTTTTACAAACGCAAAAATATTCTCTTAGGATTTTTTTTCCCCTATAAACTCTATCGTCCATCACCATAAGTCAATAGTGCATGTAGGTGCCTGTTTGTACACTCGGTACCCACGTCTGGCAAGGCCAGGCAGCTGCAAACAGAGTGGTGCCTTCCCAGAGGAGAGCCAGTGTACCAAGTTGTGGGTGGAGCTGGGGAAATGAGACCAGTGGCTTCAAAGGATGGTCAGGATATCGGGACCAAGCTTTGCTCTCAGAAGTTTCCCCCAGAAAGCAGCAGCCCCACCTGCCCACTGCTGTGTGGCTTCAGACTTACCTCCGCTAGGAATCTTCCAAAAAAGTGGTGACTGGGCTCCCCCCGGCTGCCCATGCCACCCGACACTCCTCCTCTACTTTGCTGGCTTATTTGGAAACTAACTGTTTCTATATAAAACCTGAAATCCTGATGGGTGCACTTTAGATTAAATCAAGCATTGCTTCTGCAGCAGAAAATCGTAAGTTTCCCTTGACCCACGGTCAGAGGTTGCTGGGGTGGAGACCCACGCAAGGTCTCCATTGCCCAAGGACTATGGTTCAGAACAGCGGCCATGAGTGGGCATTGTGGATGCTGTCAAGATAAGCTGATGGTCCGTGGGAACATTAGGGGTGACAAAGGAGCTACCCCAGCAGTGGGGACACACTTGAGGCATCAACTTAGAAGGATGCTCTTGAGTCCAGTGGCTGGCCATCTAGGGACCCCTCTTGTGCATGGACCTTGGGGTACACGGTAGACTGTTTGCGTTAATGGCCTCAGTTATTTCCCTGCCTATATTGATAACCCTTTTCAATGTCACTTTTCAAAGCCTCCCATCAACTGGTGGAGTCTACTTCTTCATCCTTTGAACCTGAGCTCACCATATGATGTACTGTGACCAACGGAATATGGTAGAAATGACTTTATGCCAATTCCAAGTCCAGTTCTCAAGAGGCACAGGACACTTTTGCTTGCTTTCTTAGAAACTGCCATCATGACCTTGTAAATGAGCCTGAGCTAGCCTACTGGAAGATGAGAGATACACTGCCCAGTTACTCCCACTGTCCTAGCCAACAGTCAGCCAACTGTCAAAAGCAAGAGTTGCCTGGCTGGCCATCAGCTGACCACAGACACATGAAGAAGTCCAGCCATGATCAGAAGAACCTCCCAGCTGAACCCAGCCCATATTGTTGACCCACAGAATCACAAGCTAAATAAATGGCTGTTTTAAGCCACTAAGGCTTAGGAGGGGTTTGTTACTCAGCATGACTTACGTATCAACTAACTGATACAAAAGATGACATGTGATTGACCAGCCTTGAACTTCCTGGGGAAAAGCCAGTCAGCTATCAAGAATCTGTCCATCTCTGGGTCTGGGTCACTGGGGTGGAGGGCGTGGCATGGGGTGCAAGGACACGATCTTCAGAAGTGAACATTTCTTTCTTTCAAATTAAAAAAAAAATCCCCAAATACAGAAACAAAAAATAACCCAGGTTTACACATTTCTGTTTATATATATATATTTTCTCTCTATATAGACATGACTTCTCAGTAAACAGTTACAAGATATGTTGGCAACACTGAGAACAAGAAGGCGCTCCATAGATGGAACGACTCCCACGTGTTTGATGCTGGGACACAAGGACACACACGACGCACAGAGACCCAAATAAACACACTAAGCAGAATAAATATGAATTATTCCAAGTCACAACCACGATGCTCTCCGGAACACCACGAGACAAGGCAGAGAAAAGATCTTGTGCTGTACTTTTCAGACTGGTCTGTTAAAAAATAAATTAAGAATCGGAAGGTCCTGGGTCTTGCTAAAATAATGTCCTCTGTAGTGAACAGCTGAGTGGCAAAATAAACTTTTATCTGGACAGGACTTTCATACATTTTTCTCCCATCTTGGGAAGCTGGGGGACCACGGCGAGGAGATGCAACTCTCAAGGAACATCTAGTCTCTTCCATTCTGTCCAAGAGACCCCACTTGGACGGAAGTTGGGGGTTTGGATGCAGTGGAAGGCGCTGGGTCGGAGGGAAGAGCCTTCACAAGCACGCCGGGCAGGGATCACTCCCCTTCCAGGTTTGCTCAGGGCTGGAGGACAAACGCACCCCTTCTGCACGTGCTTCAGTACGCTTTCCCAGTCTCCTCCCCTCTCCAGAATCCTACCTGGTGCCCTTCGGATGAGCATCCATCCCTGACTCTCCTGTTTCTCCTGATTCTAGTGCAGCCTCAGAACAGAAGGGCTGGCAGCCCTGCTCTCCTGCGAGGGCAGGTCGGCAGGGTAGATTAGCTCACTTACGGTCTGTCTGGGGATGGGCAACCCTTTGTGTGAAGACGTGGAGGTGACCATTTCCCGGCTTAGCCGTGACTCTGGTACCAGTTCATCAGCTGATGCTTCTTTCCCAAGGAAGACCCCCACCACCACGCCCACCCTGGCCAGACTCTGTCCTTTGTCCTGAGTGAGCAAGGGCACTTGGGGGAAAGTCAGCCTCCCTGAACAAGTGGTTTGCACCAACACACACCTTCCAAGCTTTTGGAACACCAGACCCAATGTGTGGACGGAGAGACGAGGTCCTCCCTAGGAAGACAGGAAGGCAGTGTGGACTCTGCCCTGCCTGGCGGAGGGGGCGGAGTTGGGACAGGACTCCATAGAAGCCAATCTCCCACCTACAGACACTTCTCACAGGCAGACATCCTTTTTGAAAAGAAGAAGTCTCTTCCGGGCCAGGTGGAGGAGAGAAAATGAGAGAATACAATAATTGGAATTCCAGACCCCAGGCGAGATGAGTAAAGGACCCCCACGTGCCTTTGCTAAATGCGAGGAATCAGGATACAGGCAGCTCAGGTACAAAGCAAGTGGGGAGGGAGATTCACTGGGAACCTCGAGGCCAGCTGTTCTCAAATGGGGCTGGCACCATCTGGAGGTGTTCTGGCTTGTCACAAAGGGGTGGGGAGGAGTGTGCTACTGGCATCCAGCAGGTAGAGGCCAGGGATGCTGCTAAAAATCCAACGGTGCCCAAGGGCGGCATTCCCCTCCAAAAAAGAATTACCCAGCCCAAATGTCAACAGTGCTCTGCTCCAACTCAACCTGCCAGCCATGTTCTGGAACATCTCCACAGGCGCCTTCCGACTACAGAGGTAGCCCCGCAGACCTCTCCTACCCCCGTTTCCAAAAAAATTCCCTCCCTAAGTCTCATCCGACAAGACAATGTGGAGGGATGGGAGAGAGAAGAGAGACAATTCTGGGGACCACGAACGAAGATGTTCCCTTGGTCCACCAACAACCGCCAACTCCCACAGAAGAGAAATCCCAGACTTGGGCGATCTTTGGTCAAACAGGAAAACGTAAGGCTGAACTGAAGGGGCAACCCCTCGACCCCACCTGTCCGGTGGCTAAAGCTGGGGTACTCTCTCTTTGCTCAGAAGTAAATGCTCATGAACAGACACCAGGACCTCCGCTCCCCGGTGGCCGGGAGGAGAAGCGGGTGGGACAGGCGGGCGGCGGCTCGGCTGATGGTGCCTGGGTGACGTGGCCCTCACTTGTTCTCAATCAGGGTCTGCACCTTGTACACGAGGTCCCGGGCCAGCTTCAGGACCTGTTTGGTGTTGTGTCGCTCGGCCATTTCTGAAAGAATGGAAGGCAAAAATCTCATGAGCCTCCTTCTGTGTTCATCTTGAGGCCATACCTCCAGCGCCCAGAGGGGTCTCTGGGACATCCCCCTCATCATCGTCTGGCACCATCCCCAGAGCAGCTCTTGGGGAAGGCCTGCATCTCCAGACCTCAGTTTCCTCATCTGTGAAATGGGAATCATTAACCGGACCTACTTTTACAAGGTCACTGAGAGATGAAATGAGATGAAGTTGGCTCACAGTGTGTGTTTAAAACAATGTTAGGACCTCCCACCCCGACTCCTACAAACACAATGACTGGGAACCTGTTAAGAAAGCAAGGCCAGGCACATGGTAGGCGCTTAAAAGTATAGAAGGATGGGCTCAACAGAAGGAGAGGGGAGGGAAGGGGAGAAAACACAAACAATCACTTTGTCCAGAGGGACACAAATCGATCAGAATAATCCCACACTTAGACGTTGATCATAAATCATTTAGGAAAAAAAAGGCACTTAGACTGTGGTTCCTGAACTTGGGTGCCGAGGAACCCCACAGGGTTCCACTGTGAACTCGTGGAAATTTTGAGGTAAATACAGCGATACTCTGACTCCATCAAACACCACATAAACCGCTAGTACGAGCGAACTTGCAATCGCACCACCTTCCCATCCATGGCTTTAGAGCTTTCCAAAGCGAGGTTTTCAGCAAGTGCTTGCTCTGATGAAAGCAGGTACCACAGATGAAAACCACTGCGGAACAGGAAACGAAGGTGGTGGCGTCCAAGCCGATTCCAGGCTTTGAGAAGTTGTGCAAAGCCGAACAGGTGTGCACATCCATTAGCAACTGTGCTTATTTAAGTGCAAAACAAAAATACTATTTTCTTTAGGTTTATCTGTATTTTTTCTTTTCAAATGGCTACTAAGTATAACAGATAGACTTATTAAGTAGTTCGGCTCTAACTCATTACCGAATGGAACTTTTGGTCTGGGAAGCTGCAAACATTTCACAGAGACACTAGGGGAGCCGTAAACCGAGAAAGTTTGAGAATCTCTTCTGTTAAGCTAGGAATTGCTTTGGGCTCTCAAACCACATCCTCAAACTGAAAGCAACCCAGATGCCCAACCATAAGGGATGGTTCATAAGTTACAGAGAGTCACTTGAGGTTTATTCTGCCATCTTTAACAATGATTATGTGGAAGATGCTTTTAAAACTATTAAGTGGGGAAAAAAAAAGAGATACAACTGGATTCTGTGATGGTAACAACATAAAAATATACATGACCATGGGGAAGACTGGAAGGAAAAAAATTTTTTTTTTTAATGAAACCACATGGTTTCCTGGATTGGATCCTGCGGCAGAAATAGGACATTAGTTAAAAAGCAGATGAAATAAAAAAAATCTGTAGTTTAGTTAAAAGTAACGTATCGATGTTAATTTCTTTGTTGTCACAAATGACTAGGATCAGGTAACGAATTAACCTTCAGGGCAGCTGGCTGAAGGGTCCTGGGAACTCTCTGTACTATGTGCAATTTTTCTGTAAATCTAAAATTATTCCAAAATAAAAAGCTTATTTAAAAAAAAAACTAACAATGTTTCCAGGGTAAGGTCACAGGTGGCTTTTTTTTCTTTTGCTTTTTCCAAAACCTTTTTTAGTTAAAGAATTTTTTAAAAATAGTGACAAAAGTAGCAACAGCTTCTGGCGGTGGGGTCCCTCATATGAGCCAGGTACCACCTGCTGGACTTTATCCATGTGGTCTCATTTAATCCTAAGATTGCTGTGCGAAGAAAGTGTTGGTACCACTTTATCCCCAAGGAATCTGAAGCTCAGAGACATGAAGTTACTTGCCCAAGGTCACACAGCCCTTGCTTGAGTGGCAAGGTTGGGACCAGAATCTACACCTGTTTGACTTCAAAGGCTGTGCGCCTTTTTCATGCCATTTCAACTGCCCTCCTGTATCTGCTTTTCCTACACATCAACCCTCTGAAGTAGACACTCTTACCCCCTTTCACAGATGAGGAAGCAGATACTTAGAGAGAAGGGAAGTGATGTGTCATGCGGGTACCATTAAAAAATTTGATGATGTCTGTGAAATCCATGTTGTTCTCCAAGATGATGTCACGGTAGACTTCCACCAGCGCCAGCGCGATGAACAGCACGTAGTGGGCAGACGAGACGTGTCTGGCCGCCCAGATGGTCTCCCAGACGGAGAAGACATCATCGTAGAGGAGCTCTGCCAAGACACCAACACGCACACGTGCAGGGAGAGAGTCGCCCGCGGGGCTCACCGCACTGCCCTCCCTCCGGAGAAAGCCCAGGCCAGCCGCGCCCCGCGCTTCCGTCCTGGGGCAGCAGACAGCTCGGCCAGGAGGCAGGAGACCTGGACGCTGTCATTTGACATAAGCCTCAGTTTTCCCCTTCTGTAGAACAGGCTACGCAGATCAGGGAGGTTGAATATTTCCAGCTCTGACATCTTATAAGTGGAAGCCCCTCTCTCCCTGCACCCTCCATCTCCTTTAGCACCCATGAGGGTGTCTCCCCTTTCTCCCACACACAGGCAGAGCTCACTTCTGCATCTATCTAGTAAAGAGAACAGAGCACTGGTGAAGAGCAAGGCTCCCTATGCTCGATAAACTCAGTCTGCGTCCTGGCTCCATCACTCACTAGCAAGGTGACCTCGGGCTAGTCCCCTCCCCTCCATGAGCCTCTCTTTCCTCATGGCAATGGGAATAAAGAACTGAAGAAATGGTACGTACAAATGGCTCAGTACAGTGCCTGGCACTTAATAAATACCTCCACATAGGTTAGATATTATTATTAGCATCACCCCAAATTCACGTGATAGTAATGCAGTGTTTAGATATCGTTTCCAAGTCATGTGTGAAAGATGCTCTGCGGATTTCAGAGTTCCTGGTCCCCAGTACTCAGCTTAATAGAATGAAAGGGAACTGGGTTTAGGCAGGCAGCAGGGGGCTCAGATCCTGGCTCTACTATGCCTAGCTCTGAATTTAATTCTTCTCACCCTTCGTTTCACTCCCTGTAAAATAGGAATTGGAACACCATCTACCACAGGGCATCTCTGCATGATAAGGTAGGTGAACTGATAGGCAGAACTCAACAAACGGGTGTTACTCTCTTCCTCGGGCTTTGTTCCAACACCCCCAGCCTCACGTCCGTGGTATCTTTTCCCCTGAGGTTCTGCTACCAAGAGTCTGGGAACAAGGTCCCAGTTTGAAGTCTGTACCTCGCTTGAAATCCAGCAGGAACCAGCGGTAGCAGAAGTAGAAGTGAGTGTAGTCCCCGTTCTGATGCATCAGCTCAAAGAGCTCTGAGTCCAGGATCTGTCAGAGGAAGGCAAGAGAGGCATCCACCTTCTGGGAAAAGGCTGGACCAGAGGGAACAGCTGCATAAGCGGAGCTGTATCCCCAGCCCGGACAACACGCAGCCCTTAACAACCAGGTGGGGTTTAAAAGTGGGCAAAAGGATTTGAAGTGCAAATCAACCGAGCTCAACCTGACCCAGTCATTTCTCTAAAGATAAGCAAATAGCCAATTAGCACATGAGAGAGGCCGACAGTCGTTAGTGATGAAGCAAATGAAACCAAAACCGTAGTGAGGTACCACTCCACATCCAGTCGGATGGCTATGATAAACATGGCAAAGTGCTTGTGAGGAAGTAGAGAGACTGGAGCTCCTGTACGTGGCGGGTGGGAAGGTAAAATGGTGCAGCTGCAATTCCACCCCTCGGTGTAGCCCTAAGGGAAGTGAAAACCTATGGCCACGTAAAAACTTGCACATGAATGTGCACCACAGCATTACTCAGAGCAAAGTGGAAACAACCCAAATGTCCACCTACAGATGAACGGACAAACAAAATGGGGTCTATCCAGGCAACGGAGTATTTGGCAATAAAAACGAATGATGTGCTGATACGAGCTACAAAGTGGATGGACCTGGAAAACATGATGCTACGTGAAAGACTCAAAAGGCCACATGTGGTGTGACTCCATCTATATGACATGTCCAGAATAGGGAAATCTACAGAGCAGAAAGTAGATTAGGGGTTGCCAGGGCTCAGGAGAGCAAATGAGTGTGGGGTTTCTTTTTGGAGTGTTGAAAATGTTCTGAAATTAGTGATAATGATTTCACAACTGTGAATATTCCAAAAGCCAGTGAATTGACCATTATGAAGGGGTGAATTTTATGGTATGTGAATTTGCCTCCATAAAGCTCTGTGTGTGTGTGTGTGTGTGTGTGTTTGTGTGACAGAGAGAGAGAGAAATATACTCAAACATTTCTTTGCAGAAAAGGACCAATACAATCAAACATCCTGTTAAGGGTGAGGGTCATGTCTTGCTCATCATGGTAGGCACACTGTCTGGACCAAGTAAATGCTCACTGAGAATGAATCTAGTGGAGTGGACTTGAGTTGCTGAGTGAAGCTTGAGATGAATTGAGTTTTTTAGTTTCACTCAACTGGGCTGAGTTGGGTTGAACTGAGTTGAGTTAAGTAGGATTGAGTTACTGAGTCAAGGTAAACTAGGTATGGCCATTAAGCTGACTTGAGGTCCACTGGGCAGACCTGGAGTAAGTTACATTATTGAATCGGACAAGGTCATACCTGGATTAGCGACCTCATGTTGGCAAAGTGTGTGTCCATGGCGCCTCCGTGGGGGAAGTTCTGGTTCATCCTCTTCATGAGCTCCGTGAAGCAGCTGAAGGCGAGGGCCTCTGGGGAAAGAGCGCAGGAGAAACAGTCAACTCTGCCACTGCCCAAGGGACCGGAGGTCCCAAAGTGATGGGCAGGAGGCCCCGGCTGGTTCACGAAGTCCACAGCCAAATGAGAAACATACGGACAATGGCGTTCCCGTGTATACCATTTCAGGGAATGCACTCCAGTCTTCAATTAATCACAGAGGGATGGGATATAGCTCAGTAGTAAAGGGTGTGCTTAGCATGCACGAGGTCCTGGGTTCAATCTCCAGCTTCTCCGTTAAAAATAAATAAATATAAATAAATAAACCTAATTCTCTCCTCCCTAAAAAAAGGAATAAAGTCAACAAAAATTAAAAAAAACCTGCTCTTGGGAACACACTCTTGAAGAAAAAAATAATTAATTACAGATTTCCCACCTTAGACATATTGAAATATCTTTTCTTTTAGGAAACAATGGTGACAGCAAATGCTCGGTTTAAAAGATCCCTGTTTGCTATGATAAAAATTTGACAATGTTTGATCCCAAACTTAAAAAAAAAATTCTACAGAGTTCATGGAAATTCTTAAGTCTGGGAACCACTGTATTAAAATAGCAGTTGTGAATATTGGAAGGGTGTTTGTAAGCATTATGCCAAGAAAGGGTCAGATAACACTGGGAAATGCTGCGAAGGGAGCCACTGCATATATTCATTTAAAAAAGGCTCTGAGAAGTCCTGTAATTAAAAAAAATCTGTTCTATATTGTTCAACTCTGTTTAAAGAATTTATTTAAAAACAGTATCTTTTTTTTTTACTGTTAGCACCTACCAACTTTGGGGAAGGTCATGGGAAGGTTTCCCAAGGCACAGTAGAATCTCATTTATTTATTTTTTAAAATGTTATTTTTCAGAACAGGTTAGATACACAGAAAAATTGAGATGAGAACAGAGAGGGTTTCCATATGCCCCCCCACCCAGGTTCCCCCATTACTAACATCATCCAATAGTACATGCATGTGTTACAATTAATGACACACGATGATGCGTTATTAACTCAAGTCCATGGTTTTGTTTTTTACACCTACTGTCCTTTTTCTGTTCCAAGTACCCATCCAAGGTCTACATGACATACAGTGGTCATGTCTCCTCAGGCCCCTCTTGGCCATGGCGCTGTCTCACATTTTTCCTTTTCTGATGACCTTGACAGTTGTGAAGCGTACTCATCAGGTATTCTACGGGGACTCCCTACTGGAATGCGTCTGACGCTTTTCTCACAATAAGACTGGAATTATGGGTTATTAGGAGAAAGACCACGTCGGGAACATGCCATGTTAGCCACACCATATTAAGGGAATACGGGATCAGCATGAACGGCGGTCTTGGTCACCCAGGTGAAGGCAACGTTTTCAGGGTTTTCTCCGCTGTATAGTTTCTCTCTCATCTTCCACCTCTTTCTACACAGAACTTTTTGGAAGGAAGTCACTATGCTCAGTCCTAAAGAGGAGCGAGTTACACTCCCCATTTTTAAACAGCCTTACTGAGGTTTACGTACCATAAAATTCACCCTTTCAAGAGTGTAATTCAGTGGCTTCAGTATATTCACAGCTGTGAACCCTCATCCCTAATTTCAGAACATTTTCACCACCCCCCAAAGACACCCTATATACATCGACAGTCATCACCCATTTCCCTCTCCCCCCTGTTTTTGTCAACCACTAATCTATTTTCTGTCTCTATAGATTTGCCTCTTCTGGACATTTCATACAAATGAAATCATATAATATGGGGTCTTTGGTCAACAATTGTTGAAGGTTTTTGCCTTTTATTTCATGAAGTATATTGGCCTGTCGTTTTCTTGTGATGTTTTTGTCTGGTATTGGTATCGGGGTACCAGTGAGGCCTCAGGTAAGAACTGGCCTCATAAAATGAGTTGGGAAGTGTTCCCTCCTGTTCTGTTTTTGGGAAGAGTTTGTGAAGTAATGGTATTCACTCTTCTTTAAGCATTTGGTAGAATTCACCAGTGAAGCCATCTGGGTCTGGGTTTCCCTTTGTTCTCATTCATGTTTATACAATCAGTGACCAGCAAAAGCCTGGCTGGGTGTTGGACACCTGCAAGTAAGTGGCCAACACGGAACAAGAGGACTTTTCACTTCACTAGAACCTTGGTATGTTTACTTGACAGGTCTCCTGAGCACCTGCGCTGACCCATTCCATAGAGTCACAAAGCAGAGTTAATCCTTCTTCTCTGTAGTGAGAAGGAAACTGCATCCTGAGTCCTGGGGTGGGGAGGATACACTCACCATCATCCAGAATGACCAGCAGTGGAGCCAGGAGGTCACACATACCCTGGACATAGCCGATCTCAATGTGCTGCCAGATGTAGCTACAAGAGAGACACATGATGCCCGTCATGGCACCCACAATCTGCCTGTCTGACCCACTCCTCCTTTACCTCCACCCTGGTTTGGTTCCCCCATCTCTTACCTGGACCACTCCCTCAACCTCTTGCCTGCATCCCCATCCCCAGTCTCGCTCTCTTCAAGCATCCTGTGCTCAGTCACCAGGATGACCTTCCTAAAGCTCAGCTCAAGGAGCCCACTGCATGCTCAAAAACCTTCACAGGCTCCCCACTGTGTCACAGGATAATGTCTTAACTCCTTTGCTGGGGATGCAAGGTGTTCATAGTTTCCTCCCAATCCATCTTCACAGTCTCACCCGTCACTTCCCAGGACTTCCTCCCTTCCAGCCACACTGAGGGATTTACCTTTGTACAAATAAAGCACACATTCATGCCTCTGTGCTTTTGTCCCAGCAGTTCCCTCTGTCTGGAATTCCCATCTGCCTGTTAATAATAACAACTAATATTTACTGAGCATTTACTGTATGCTCAGTCCGCTATACATGTATTGCATCATTCAATTCTCAAAATAACCATATGAAAAAGTTACCATTGTCATCCCATTTCACAGAGAAGGAGAATGAGGCACAGAGAGTTAACCAAGTCGTTAACCTAATAATAAACGGTTGAGACAGGATTTGAACCCTGGTGGCCTCATTCCAGTGTATGTGCTCTTAACTTCGATGCTAAATGATTTCTTCAGTGTCTCCTCATTCCCCCGAAATCCATTTTGACTCACCACCTCTATGAGGCCTTCCACGATTTCTCCTGGGGCCACAATGAGGTAAAAGTCAGTCTATCCTTCCTTCTCCTTCAGCACTTTTTAATGTTAAGGTAGCATACTATGTTAAAGTTAATTACATTTGTTATTTCCTCAACTAAATTTTAAGTGGCAGTAACTGCTTGGGAGACTATAGAGCAGAATAGTTAAGAGGTGGTGTTTATTGGGGGAGGTATAGCTCAAGTGGCAGAGCGCATGCTTAGCAAGCATGAGGTCCCAGGTTCAATCCCCAGCACCTCCTCTAAAAATAGTAAATAAATAAATAAACCTAATTACCTCCCCCACCGAAAAAAAAAAAAAAGAAAGAAAGAAAAAATAAACAGGTGGTGTTTATTAATAAAAATGAGTTGGAGCAGGGTATGTCAAACCTTTTCTAAGCGGTCCAGATAACAATTATTTTTCAGCTTTGTAAGCCATAGGTTCTCTGTCTCAGTTAGTTAACTCTGCAGAAGCTATCACAGATAATATGTAAATATGGCCAGGGCTGAGTTCTAAAAAGACTTTATTTACAAAAGCAAGTGGTAGGCCGCATTTGGCCCATGGGCTATTGTAGCAGTTTGCATCCAGGACATATAGTCGAGTGTAAAACGCAAGTTGTAGAAAAATAGTTTATAGTATAATCCTATATAGGTAAAAATTTTTTAAAAATTAAAATACATGTGCATTCATATTATCCTATGCTATATATTACACAGTATAACTATATATTATGTAGTAAAATTATATGCTATATGTTTATAATTATATACTATATATAAAGTAAATTTTATACTATATATTATATAGCATAATATAGTACATTAAGTATTAATATTTAAAGAAATATTAATATATAACATGTCTATTCATATACTACATATTCTGTAGAATTATATAATATATTTATCTAATGATATAATATATAAAGCATAGTTATATACTGTATATAATATAATATAATACATATTATTTAATATAGTATCTATTGTATATGTATATATATCATATATACGGCTCGGGAGGATATCACTAAATTGTTAGCAGCAATTCTAGGTGAGTGGCACTGATGACTGGATGTGGATGGAGAAGTTCCCCTTTACACCTTATGAACGTCTGATTTCCTTAGTTGACTCAGGTTTTTACTAAGCATGGGTTCCTTCCATATTTTAAGAAATAAAATAGTTAATATTTAATGAAAAGTAATAAGTAGCTCCAGATCTTTGCTTAGAGAAATACAGCACAGATTCTAGAGCCCAAGAGAGAGAGGGGTCCTTGTTCAGCCACTGCCCCCCCGGGGGACGTGGAGCAAGGTGGTACCCCCCGAGCCTCCATGTCCTCACCTGTAAAAGGGGATAACACTTCATAGGCTTGTTCTGGGGATCGACTGAAACGATGTTAGTGAAGGGCTCCAGATAGTGCCTGATATACAGCAGGCGCTTAATAAGTGTTCTCTCTGATTATCATGACTGTGATTGTTACACTGTTGTCAGGGTAGGCTGGAATAAGATTTGAGCTGGGCATGGTGCCAGCCACAGAGAGTGTGGTTCTAACTGGGCTCCCTGTAGCCCGCCCCTCTGCCACCCCTTCCGGACCCCATACGGCTCCATCCCCGCGCCCCAGCCACCTGCACATGATGTTCCGTAGCTTCTCCAGGTTGGCGGGCGTGAAGTACCAGTAGTTGCGGTCACACCTCTGCACGTCCTTCTCAATGCGGTGCAGGTTCACCGTGTACAGGTCCAGCAGCTCCGGCTGCACACCCGCAGGGGAAGAGGAAAAGAACATTACACCCCAACGGTGTAATCCTCCAGACAGTCTCTCTCTTCCTCCTAACCCTATCCTGCTGTCAATGAAAAAAACCTTCCTCTACCTCGAGCAGTGAGGCCTTTGACTTTGTTGTTTCCCAAGAAAGCCTCTTTCACTTTGTATGAGAAAAATTCTTTTTCTTTCTTTCCTTTATAAAACAAAACAGTCCTATGAGGTGCATGGAATTATTACCCCCATTTTACAGATGAAGAAACAAGAAGAGAGTTACAGCTGTAGCTGGAGGTGCATCCCTCCCCACTGAAAACTGAGTAAGAAGAGTGGGAGACTTGAACAGAAGCCCAGCTCTGGCAATTGCTGGGCCTGATGCCCTGACCCGACAATCCTGATGAAACGGTTCAACGAATGCTATTGCAAGGAAAAAAGAAACACTTAAAAGGTCAAAAGTTAACCCCGCAAGGCAAGAAAATTCCAAAGCTGGCTTTTGCCTTGAGGGACGCTGCCAGTCAGGGAAAATTTAAGCCTGGGCTTTACAGTGTTGTGGTTTCTCCCGGGTAAGAAATCTAAGAGACCTCCCCACTTCAAGGAAGGACCTCCACAAAGCCACGCCCCAGTAAGAGAAAAGCAGAAAAAAACCTACCAGCATCGTGGGGTCTCAAGGACAACTGTCTATCTTAAACATAGGTGCCAAATTAAGCATATAAGATACCTCCCTGAATAATTAACAGCCTCAAATCAGGCTTGTAACTTATGCATAACTCAAATTCTCACCACGTGGGTGATCTGGAAGAGCAGAGAATTTAGATGAAGGTGTCCTCAGGTTGGTATTCCCCTGAGCACAAGGAAGAAGAAAAAGCAAATCGTCTCTCGAGGAATCCACCTTCCACCCAGGCCTCAAATAATGCAACAGAAGAAGTTCTAAGCAATCTGAGCTCATGTTCAAAAATCATAAAACACCCAGAGAAAAAAAAGGCACCATGAGTGACAGCCAGCATATACACCAGATAGTCGAATCAGACCCAGGAGGGCTTCAGGTATTAGAATGATCAGGAACAGAATATAAAATAAGTATGTCTAACATTTTAAAAGAAATTTTAAAAAGAGATGAAAAATAATAATAGAGTACAAGAGACTAAAACAATCAAGCATATTTTATAGCAGATGTGCAAATAAGCCAGATAAAACTTTAAAAAAGCAGATCAAAAAGTCACTAGAGGGAGAAGGTATAGCTCAAGTGGTAGAGTGCATGTTTAGCATGCACGAGGTCCTGGGTTCAGTCCCCAGTACCTCCTCTAAAAATAAATAAACCTAATTACCTCCCCCCCACCAAAATAAAATAAATAATACAATAAAATGTTTTAAAAAAAGAAATAAAATTTTTTAAAAAGTCACTAGAGCCAGAAAAGTAGACACAGACACTATGGAAAAAAGAATTAGTGAACTGAAAAAGGATCTAAAGAAACCATCCAGGATTTAGTCACAGGACGAAGAGATGATAAAATGAAAGAGAAGTAATACACACGGAAAATAGCGTGAGAACGCTTAGCAAGCATTTAATCAGACCCACAGAAGGAGATGAAATATTTGGGAAGTGGCAACAGTTGAATGTACAACAGAAGAGAATTTTGCAGAACAAAATATATCCACGTGCACATTATGAAGTCCAACAAACCACGAGCCTCAAAACAGAAAAAGAAGTGTTTGGATCCAGCCTTACCTGAGTGTTCGACTCTTGAAACTGGGATAGAAACAGTAAGTTCTTTAAAAGAAAATGGATCTACAATGCCTGGCTTGGAAAACCTCCCTTTCAGCTGATGTCCTTTGCTTTGGGCTTTTTGGCAAAAAAAAAGCAAACTCCAATTTTAAAAGAGACTGGACCTGAGTGTCAATCAAGATGCTCATGGTCAAGACTGCTACTGATTGATGAATCACTATGGGCCAAGCACAGAGGATCTGACTCACTAATTCTGAAGACAACTCAGGAAGGAAGGTACTAGACAGATAGGGAAACTGAGGCTCAGAAAGATAAAGTGATGTGCCTAAGCTGGGATTTGAACCTAGTACTGTTTGACTGCAAAGCCTGCGTTCTTCAAGTATTATATCATCTTCTCTCCCAAATCATGGAGGACTCTACAGTGACTGCTCCATCACGGGGAAAATGCAATGAACCAGAGGTCGTCCTGGATAACTGAGGCTTGTGGGACACTCCCACCCTCCCTCGGCTGCACAGAATTGAGTGGAGAAAAATCCTGGTGACTTACGGAGTAGGTGACACCACTGGAAGACACGGGGGACGCCTCGTTGTTAGCAGATGTGGTCACGGCCAGAGAAGCCAGGGCAGGGAAGAGACTTTCCATCTCGGGCTCCTCTGAGAGGTTGTCCTCACTGTCCACCTGGCTGTGCTTCTCCGCCTCGCTGCCCCTCCAGCCCTCCATCCCGGTGCCCTCCTTTTCGGGCAGAGGCACATCCATGCTGCCAGGGATGGACATGAACTCGTCCATGCTCTCGTTGGCGAGGATGTCACTCTCCAGGCTGTCCTGCACGGCCAGCTCCTCACGGGGGACCTCGTCCCGGGAAGTGGTGGCCTCGCTGCTCTGCCCGTCATCCACGCTGCTGTCCCTGGGTCGCAGCACCAGGGGGGCGTGCCTCTGGGCATCCATGACGCTGTCTTCTGTACTCAGGCTGGGTTCCGAGTGCTCCGAGAGGCCCGAGGAGAAGTTATGGGAGGAAGGATGGCCGGAGTCTGGGGAACACGTCCCATTTACCAGGTTCCCGTTGGGGATCTTGGGCTGTTTCTCCTCCAATCTGCCTTCTGCCTCCACTTGCTCCACCTCGTCCACAGACTCAAAGACCTGCAGACCAGGTGCACAGAAACAGATGGACTAGGATGTCCACTGAGGTGCTGCTGCCAACAGCAACCTAACTATCCATCAACAGGGGATTGGTTCAAACACGGAACAAGCGTGCAGTGGAACCCTACGCAGTCAGTAAAAAGGGTGGCAGAACACGGTGTGATATATGCTCCCATTTGTGAAAAATAAGTGTTCTCTATGCACGCACAGGCAGAGAATAATCCGGAAAGAAACAAAGGAGCACGGTAGTTGACTTTGAGGAAGGGGTATTAGGGAACTGAAGAGGGGAAAGAAAACCTTTCATCTTACCAAATCATGTGCACGTGGTTTTTTTTTTTGGCTGGGGAAGGTAATTAAATTTATTTATTTTTAGCGGTACTGGGGACTGAACCCAGGACCTCATGCATGCTAAGCATGTGCTCTGCTGCTTGAGCTACACCCTCCCTGCTGCATGTGATTTTTCAAACTATTAGTTAAAGACACAAGGAACAGGCTAAAAAAGCATCCATGGGGTTGACAACGATGGATCCGTTTTCAAAACCAGTTAGATGCAAATGAAGTATCATGGAAAAGTCTCCATCCAGGATACATATTCAAGATTTATTTGCGGTTTTGTGTGTGTGTGTGTGTGTCTCTAGGCTGTATTCCACCAAGGACAGACTGAACAAGGTCACATCCCAAGATCACTTGAAATATTTCCTCTTTGTGGTCATGTCAGCAAGTTGATTTACGGTTAATTTCATGTGTTTCTGGTTTTAAAAATTACTTTTCGATGAAATTGCTTTAAATCATGTAAAAAAAACCTTACCTAGCTCCAAAGTCAAAACTAGAAAACAAAATCTATTCAGGGAAATGGAGCCTCTTTCCTTGCGCTCCGTCCCCTCTTAGGTAACCATTTCAATCAGTTTCTGGTTTATCCCTTCATTGTTTTAGAAAATAGATGTAAATATATATGCATATTAATATTTCCTTTGTTTATACTATGCACCTTTTTTCACTTTGCTTTTTTCTTTAATATTGAGAATGAGTTAACTTGTTTTGAATGAAATGCAAGGCTATTGAACATGTCTGATGGCGTTTATTTAGAAATTTTAAAAAACTACTAAACATGACAACTATCATTTGCATACTGCCTACATATTTCTGTGTATGTAAAGGCAGACAAAAGGGTCTGGAAGGACACAGAAAATTGATGATAGCAATGTTATTTCTAAAGAGGGCATGTGGGGATTGCGGATGCTCAAAGCCAAATTTAGTTTTCTCTGTAATATTTTAATTTTGTCCTTTTTTTTTAATGGAGGTACTGGGGATTGAACCCAGGACCTCATGCATGCTAAGCATGCACTCTACCACTAAGCTATCCCCACCCACCTTTTAAATTTTTTTTAATAGACAGAATATATTCATGCATTACTTGTGTTGTTTCTAAAACTTCAATTTTGAATGCTAGCATAAAAAGCTAAAACAAATAAACCATAAGTGACCTGCAGAGGAGGGTCATCCAATCCCATTATTCCAGGTTGGAGGGAGGGGATGGGCAGGGAGGGGGCGGGGCCTCCAGAAGGTCACCTGTGTGCTGCTGCTGGAGTCACTCTGCAGGCGGATGTTCTGACGGCCTGAGCTGCAGCTCTGGGAGGACTGAAAGCAAAAGGGGCAGGAGGGAGTGCAGGTGAGGCTGCATCCAGGCTCAGGGGGCCCTCCCCGGCACTGAGCTCAGGAAGGACTGCCAGGCTGGGAGCCAGCAAATGTGGTCTTATCTCTATTTCTGACTCGGGCAAGTCCCCTCTCAGGGCCTCAGCTTCCCATCTGTCAAATAAAAGTGGGTGGGGGGGACTCACTCCCTGCTCCCTGGGGCCACAGCAGCCACTGGACCTCCACCCCACCCCCAATCTCTGCAACCAGAGAACCTCACTTTTAACTGCTCTGCACTTGAGACTTCTAGCCAGTATCTTAGTTCAGCTCCAAGTACTGGTTGTATGAATGCCTATGTTTTACTTCCTCTCTGTATACTTGCTGTTTGCCCTTTAACGTCTAGTCTCTGTTGACTCTGAGGCTAGGCTTGGTCATGTGACTTGCTTTGGTCAATGGGATGTTGGGAAACTTGACCGGGTAGACACTTAAAACATGCTTGTGCATTTCTGCTTTCTCTTTCTGGGGGCTGCTTTCACTGCAAAAACATGGCCAGGTGAGCCTGCTGGATAGTAAGACATGAGGAGCCAGGCTGAGTTACCCCAGACATGTGAGAGTCCAATGAAGATCAACGAATCTTTTAGCTGACCAGCCCTGCTTGGAGCAGAACTGCCCCACTGACTCACAGACTCATAAGGAAAACTAGTTGCTTATTGTCAGACATCACTAGCTTTGGGGGGGTTCTTTGTTACACAGCATTCGTGTGGCAATTGATGACTGAGCCATCACTGGTAAAGGGAATTGACTTCCTTTTCAACTCCTACTTTGGGCTGTTAAACTGGAGAGTCTATCAGGACAGATATGTCTGACCTGGTCACTGAATATTCCCAACACTCCAGGACATTGCTGACAGTATCTGGCACACAGTAGGTGCTCAACAGCATTTGTTGAATAAATGAAAGTCTCACACTGTGCTGGGCACTTTATACATATTATCTCATTTGAGTTGCACACAAATCTTCCTCCTACAAACGATCATTTCCATTTCACAGATAAGGAAACTGAGGCCCAGAAGTAAAGGTGTTTGCCTCAGCCCCAGAGCTAAGAAATGAAGGGGCTGGAGTTTGAACTCAGGTCTGTCTGACTCCGAAGTGATCTTCCACTCAAAAGCCAGGGGGGAGTCTCTGTCCCAAGGCCCTAGACACCCAGCCCTCTCCATTCCTACAACAGCCCGATGGAGCAGATGCAGTCCTTCCCTGCCCCCTGCCCCACCCCTGGCTCCCTGACGTTAGCCGCCCATCACCTCGTTGCTGATGGTGGAGTCCCGGTGCATCAGCCGGTGCAGGTGGCTGTCCAGGCTGGCCCCCGACGAGCACTTGGCCAGGGCAGCCGCGTGGGACTCCCGCTCCCTCTGCCGCACAATTGCCTCGCAGCCCAGCCACTCGGACATGGTCTGTGCATAGCAGGCATGAATCTGCTCGTCCACCTGTCAGGGCAGATTCAAAGGTCACTGGAAACACTGGGACTCCAGGGCAGAACCAACCCAACTCAGAAGAGGGTGGCTCTGACTCAGGCCCCTGGGCCCTGGAAACACCCAACATTCATGGAGTAGTTAACGTCCACGGGTCCCTGAGCACCTACTTTGTGCCGGGATACACAAACGTGAGCAAGGCAAATTCTTTCAATTTTCCCTCCTTCTTATCTTCCTTCTTTTATTCATTCATTCATTCATGCATTCATTCATTCAAGTATGTACTGAAAGCCTGCTCTGTGCCAGGCAGGGTACAAAGCCTTGAGGATAGAGTGACAAGGCTGTTTCTTTCCTTCTGTATTCCCTTCTTTTCCTCTTTCCTCATTCATTCACTCACTTGGTCATTTAATTTGGTAAGTACCTACTATGTGCTGGCACTAATCTAGGCGTATGAAATACAAGGGGAGCGAGATGCCCCACCTGTCCATCCCTCCAGTCACTCAAGACCCTTACCAAGGGCCCCCCACATGCCCAGCCAGGGGGCAGGTGCCGAGAGCACAAAGATAACAAAAATGACCCCCTCTTTTAATTACAGCAGTGGCTTTAGGGAAAGGCCACAGATTTCGAGGGTTTTCCTTGTGGGATTTCAGCAGAGAAGAGGGGAGCTTGCTTCATTTCTGTGCTGCACAGCCCAGGGAACTGAGGTTATGAATCTGCCAGACCTCTGGGCATGAGATGAAAGGGTGTGGAGGCGCAGGAAGCGGGAAGGCAGGGAGCCCGTGCTGTGTCAGGGTTGGGACGGGCAAGGAACCATTTAGCTATTCAGGGCTTCCAGAAAGAGGCTCCGGGAGCACCCTGCCCAAGCCCGTCACGGGGAGCTCCTTCCCACCAGACTTCTAAAGAGTCATCCAAGCCCACTTCTCCATTTCCACCGCCTCCCTAGGCCGGGCTTCCAGGACTCCTCACCCAGATGGCCATTCTGTGCCTGCTTGTCCCAGCCTGGTCCCTCCTGTCCGTCTCCCACTCAGCAGTTTCCTCTCCAGCCCCACCTCTCACCACCGCCCCCACCCACCTCGTCCTGTCTGTCCCAGCTGTCCACGTCCGCACCCTCTACCCCTCCACCGCGCCGCACACAGACACACATGTCGCATTGTGCAGGTGTCTCGTATCCCTAGAGACCCTTCCTCACTCCCCTTGCCTGCAAAGCAATCCCTTTAAAGAGTTCAGGGAGCCTTCTGCCTGGTGGAGGGGCTCTGTGCTCTTACAGCCCCCGAGTCTGCCTCCAACTGATTTTGCACAAAGCCCCCCCAGACTGGCAGAGACCTCATCGAATGCACCTCTGGGTCCCCAGTCCCGAGCACGGGGCCTGCCAAACTGGATTCTCAAGCTGGTACTGCGATGATTTTGGACAGTTCACGGCACAGCCTCATCAGCACGAGAAAGTCTCCATTTTCAACCCTCCTTCAACTTTTCTGACGACGAGGAAGGCCAGTCTGGTGCGATTGTGTCTTTAAAACATCCTTAATACTTTATAATCTCCCTTCTTAACAGAGAGCGAGGCCTCAGGCAGGCTCTGACATCTAGGCAGAACTGAATTACCTCATTTTGCTGTTTAACAACGTTTATGATAAATGACCATTTATCATTCTATTTATTTTTATCGTTTCCTTTGATGACAGCAAGTCATCTTGGTTTTCCACTGATGGCAGAGATATAAAACACCTTTTAAATTAAGTTACGTACATTTTCAGGTGAGTCGATTTAAAGACATACATTTAGTAAATAATAGCATAGACTCCTTGAGTGTAAAATATGCCCAGGTTTTGAAAACTTAGTATAAATAAAAGAATGTAAGATATCTCAGTCATAATTTTTATTCTGATTACAAGCAGAAGTGGTCATATATTGAATATACTGGGTTAAGTAAAATATGTTATTAAAATTAATTTCACCCTGATGAAATGACATAGAAACACACACAGACACACAAGAGGTTGCAAAAAATAGTGAAATTCTGGTAAGGTCTGTAGTCTAACTAGTTGTGTTGTACCAAGGTTAACATGCTGGTTTTGATAACACACTAAATGGTTCTACAAGATGTTTCAATTTGGGGAAACCGGGTGAAACGAATATAATATTTATAATTATATAAAATATAACACATAATTGTAAATATAATATTGCAAATCAACCATATCTCAATTAAAAATATAGACACATGTATTATGAACAACAAAAAAGAAATGCAATAAAATGTGCTTTAATTTATAATTTTATTATTTATTTTGTTATTAATATTAATTAATTATATTAGTTATTTTAAATTTTTAATTTAAAAATTTAATTTAAAAATAATAAAGACAGCTATATTGCCAATATGTTAATGTCAAAATAACTGTGATACTATGTTAAGGTTTTGTAAGAAGTTACCATTGAGGGAAACTGAATAAAGGACACATGAGATGTCGCTGCATTATTTCTTACAACTGCAGGTGAATCTATCACTATCTCAAAATAAAATTTATTAAAAAATGACATTTTTTGTGGGGGGAGGGTGTAGCTCAGTGGTAGAGCATGTGCTTAGCATGCATAACGTCCTGGGTTCAACCCCTAGTACCTCCATCAAAATAAATAAGTAAACCTAATTACCTCTCCTCACCAGAAAAAAAAGAAAAAAAAAAGATGACATCTGTGGCCTGTGTCATATTTCTACTGCACAGCACTGCTCTCAAGCTTTCTGGCTCCCCGACATCTCCCCACGCCACCTTGGTCCACCAGGGGACCAGAGCTCCCTTAGCCCCACAGCATCTGCTCCTTTTTGTTGCCAAACACCCCACTGCCCATCACCGGTAACCAACCTCCTTCCTCTCTGTTTCTGTCATCCCGAACTGGTAGTGGCCCAGGAGGAAGGGCCACACGGCTTTGCGGATCTCCGGCTGGATGCCCCCGTAGTAGATGAGACGCAGCAGCTCCTGCTCCTCGTAACTCTACAGTGAGGGGAGGAAGCAAAAGATCTGGTCAACAGAAAACCAGGGGATGGACTCTGTGACCCAGAGGCTCGGCTTCTCAGATCTAGCTCTCAGTGATCATGGTGTGAACAAGCAAAGCCACAAGTCCCCGGATATGCCTCCTGGTATCATACAAAAAAAGCAAGATGCTGGGAACCCAACTGCCCACCAATGGGGGAACGCTGCGTCTCTCCATGGAGATACCACATGGAGAGTAAAAAGGGCGGGAGATGCATTTATGAAAACCTACATAAAAAGATGTTCAATGTGTATTGTTAAGTGGAAAAAAAAAAACCAAGATGCAGAATAGGTCTAGGGTGACCCCATTTTTGTAAAAAAACAGAAACAAAACCACAAGGCCAGAATATAATAAATGAATATTTCTACTTAATGTTTAGCCGATTTTCTGTACTGTGCTTATTTGGGAATATTGTTTTGGAGTTAATAATATTGTCTTGGAGTTATTAATATTGTCTTGGAGTTATTAATCTTGACTTGGCACTAAGAAAATTGTTTTAAAGCTAAACAATTAAATTAAACCAAATGAAAATTAAACCAAAAAGGAATCACTTCCAGCTGGCTCTTCATAGCACTAATAACTTCTGTTTACACTAAGATGATTTAGCAACTGTTTGCTGTACTGTGGAATAGATTTGTCCTCTTTCTTTTTTAAAATTCATTTTCAGGCAAAGGCTTTGAAATTAGTTAGTTGAGCAGTTGAGCCAAGGGACCAGCAGGTCCTATCTGTGTGTGTGTGTGTGTGCGTGTAAAGTGCCAATGACTGCTCGAAGGCTACTCTAAAGGGCACTGGGGTCCTGTGTCCTCCCACCTCTTTAATTCACATTTGAAAATTAAAAGCATATTTTACATCTTAACACTAGTCTTAAATGTACCCAACCAAGTTGCGAAACCAGCCATTTTGTTCCTGTTGGGGATTTTGATTCATGTTGTGTAGACAGCCTTGTCAACACTGTTTGAAAGTCGGAGAACTATTTGGGGCTGAGGCTGTGAACGCCTCATCAGAAATCCATGTCCTCTTCTCCCGGAATCCACAGTGGGACTCCATCTCCCAGGCTCCCTTGCAGGTAGGTGTGGCCATGTGATTGGGTTCTGGCCAAAGGGATGTAAGAGGAAGTGATGTAAGCCATTTCCAGGCCAGGTCTTAGAGGAAGCTGGTGTACTCCCTTCACACCATGCACTTCCTGTCTGCTGGCTGGAAGCAGACAACCACAAGGTCCCAGAGGATGGTGGGGCCACAAGACAAAGATCCGTGAACCTCCAGAGGGAGGAGAGGTGCCCACTCACCAGGAATGCCCACCCAGGACTGTTAAGTGAGCAAGAAATACCTCCTCTATGGTGTCGAGCAACTAAAATAGTGGGGACCACACGTTACTGCAGCTCAGTCCACCCTGACACGACAATGCAACCAAGCAGGTTGTGAAAGGGTTGCTGGAACGTGAGATACTAATTATTCATTTTTGACTAATTTATTGTTGTAACCGATTTTCCCTTAGAATAGCGCCTCCCAAATTGGGGAGATCACAAAGAGCATTTGGGGAACTTTCAAAAAATATACATTCTTGGGCTCCACTCTTAGAGATGCTCGATCAGTAGAGCTGGAGGGAAGCCCAGAAGACTATAAATCTTTTGAATTCCTCAGGAAACGTGCACTCTCACAGACTGCCTGGGATTCTGAACACTGTGACCTTTCGAGAAAGTAAGCTGCTGTATCTATTTAAATTTAAAGTGGACACCAATTTTATTTCTAGGAATCTATCCCCGAAATAAGAGAACTAGTACAGAGAGGTATACGCTTATAAAGATGTTGACTGCAGCACTGTTTGAAATAAAAAAAAGGAAAAGAGCCCAGGTGTCCATCATTAGAGGAAGATTGGAACAAATTATGGTCCACCCATATATGAGGTGCTAAGGTTCTAAAAGGCACTATTTCACCTAGAGATTTGAATGACATCCCTGACATAAAAGTAAGCTAGTTACTTAAAATACAAATATAATGTCACTTTATTATTTCTTTTAAATAAGAGTTTCAGCTATATCTATATAGAGAGATTTGTGGATGTATCAGCTCAGGAAATGTATAGCATGGTCTACACCAAACTGATAGCATTCATTAATTCAGGGGATCAGAACCAGGGGGCTGTAGCAGAGAGATGATAGTAAAAACTTAAAAAAAATATTCTGAATATCAC